TGGGGTGTCTCTTCGCAAGCAATCAGATCCTCCGTCAGATAAGCGGTCACGCGAGAAACTGAAACCCTGTGCTCAGGATACACTGTTCATCTTGCAGATAATCGTTTGACATCGTGCAGTAGTAAGTGGTAATTACGAAAAAGTAAACAAGCACTTGAGCGGTATCCAAAGAGGAGGCGCACAGACAGTGGACAACGGTGGATACTCACTGGAAATATACAGTCCAAGAACAAAGGGCTTAGCACAGTTACGTCTCGCTTGTGAGAATTCCCCAATAACTTCATATACGTACATCATAAAAAGCTGTTCGCTTCGAAAGAACCTCATTCCTTGATTAATCCAGGGAAAGCTGTTACGGTAGAGTGTTAAAATTAAATGAATTCAGTTCCATATTCGATTAATTTGTAGAATGGAGCTGTGAAGCGCATTACCATGTAACTCGTGATGACTTTTTTCGACCTGAATAAACTTTCCACATGATGCCACAACTTATGCCGAGCAAAACTTTCTATCTTCCACATATAGCACCTGAAAAAATAAAATATGCAAATCAGCAGAATCATAAAAATTCTAAAAAAACACTTTTTCCTGTCAATATCGTTACCACCACTCCTAACACTAAGGCCCAAGTGCTGTCTTCTCTTTATTTGGTATCAACACAAAAAAAACCTATGCCCAACACCCTCATCTTTTCTCCACCCTCTGGAAATAAACAACCACCGGCACCAGCAGAAGCACAAGAGGAGGTGTTTCGCGATGGTTATTTTGTGATCAGAGTGAGTGAGAGGCCAATACACGTGGACGATGGTCAATACATGTCCGGATAATCGTTTAACTAAGTCCGCGCAGAAATGCAGTGAAATTTGGATTCATGAGTTGCACTGTTTTACGTCGCATCATTTACGAATGAGATAAAAATGTAGCGAAATTATACAGTTCCTCTCATACTACTCATTCTATAAGTTGCGTTCCCAGTCGCCTAATATATTGTTTCTAATATGTTTTTCTTTTTTTGTCTCCGGCTGCGAGCAATCGGTTTGATACACAGAGCTTGATCGCAGAGGTTATGCAGTAACTGGCCTAAACTCTGACCAAATTCATAGATTAAAACCCAGTGCGGTACGGGACCTACATTTATGCCTTTACTTTTGAGTTAGTTGCGGAATTAGTAATTCAAAATTTCCAGTCCGTGGCTTTGTTGCTTTTCAACGCCTGAAAATGGGTTTGAGGACACAGTAATGAAGAGAGTTGTAATGATTCCAGATCTGAGGCCTAAGACTATAACACTAAAGTATCAGTCTGGCGCACTATTAAAATGCGGTCGTAGAGGATATGGGATTTGAAATAACATAATGTTGCGTCCATGGGATAAGTGACAAGATCGTATGTTCGTACGTCACGGCATAAAAAGGAAGTAAAAATTTCTTTTAATTTTTAGCATATTCTTCTAATTTTCGGCTTACCCCGTCAAATTCCAAACTCTTATCTTTGTAGTTTTAGGTGAAATCGCTACAGATCAA